AATACCACCTATTATTTATGAGTACTAATAGTAGGACTCAATGTTAGCTTTTAATTAATAACCATTTGTTTCACTCATTTATATCTCTGCCATTGCAGTATATTTTGCAAATAATTATTTGTTAAAATTGGTATTAATTCTAAGGAATTAGGCAAACAATGATAGCATTAATATGATGCTATATTTTTTACACAAACATTTATGCCATAATTTTTTGCGACAACTATTACAACACGACTACGAGTTATACGATTATTATATGTCATAAATCAGTGGCCAAATCGTCTCAGTGTTTATCTCAAATGATACATAATTTCCATTTATTTTAATTTATTGCGAGAATTAAATCTAAATAAGAAAATATTATAGCGTATAAAATGTTTGAAATGTGTTTTTTAAATGACGATATATTTGTCTCATTCAATCATTAATTTATATTTTGGCCATAAATTGCTTGAATCGTGTCGATCGATACTATTGAAGGGTTAGGTCTCATGTCTGATATGCAAACAGTTAATGAAAAGACTAAACTATTGTCTTATACATAGGGGAGACATTCAGTTTGTATATTATATAAGATACAATTTTCCATTTATATACACATACAGTATATTCTCTGCAATCATATCAACAGCCATATCATTGAAATAATTATTTTTATTGTCAAACATTAATTTTATTTAAATTTTATAGACACCAATGATTTCAAGTGTTAATACGAAAATAAATTCCTGAGAAAAATATTAATAAATTTATGAATTTATCATGTTAAATGAGCAACATTATGCTAACGAATCAAATTCTTTATTCAGTGAAACAAGTTTGTAATTCCCAGTCATTTACATGATCGTGATTACAAACATTAATAGAATTAATGTGCAAACAAAAACAAACTGGTTCAATGTTAGCAAAAAAGTTTCATTTATATTTCGGTAAATCGACTACTTTTAATTTGTAATATAATACTCACTATAAGCTAAAAATCATATTACAGTAACCGAAATATATTTTTTATATCGCATTTTTATAACTCAATTATTTATATTTTAATTTTATTTGCGATTCTTAAGGATCGGATGTTTTATATTTCACAGTTATATGAATAAAATATACAAAGACTTTATACTTATAAACAAATCTAGAATCGACTGAGAATTGTAGACATGAAACACAAACTGAAATCAAATGACATGTATTTGTTGAGTGCCTATCACTGTAATGGCATTACATCAATGTTTTCGGAGATTAGCACTGATTTTACTAAATCTAATAGTTTTAATCGGATTCGTAATCACAATAATCCAGTTTTCATTGTATTTTATCCATGATAGTCTCAAACAAAATGTGTGTAAAATTGTGTGCAAAGACTTCATGTCAGTGTGTTTGCTGACGAGTTGTGCAAATCCAAAGTGTTATAAACTGCAAATTATCGACATTTTAGTCGTACTTATTCTACAGCTCAAGATCTTATCGCAATTGTTTGTAATCATTAGTTTATTGAGTAACACATTTGGTTGGAAACCATACTTAGCCTCATTAATATTCACTTTTCCCTGGATTTTACTAAACGTTTACGACTGCTGTAAGAATTGATATTCACTTTTATAACAAATAGCAAAATTTATATGCTTTTCGTAAATATATATTTCATATATTTTTTGTTTGTTTTTTCTTTAACCAAAAAAGTCTTTCACATATCTATTGTACAAATCCAAGCTTTTAAGCATATTTTGAGCTTTTGGTGGAATATATCCTTTTTCGCTATTATTCATGTTTGGGACTTCATCACAATTTTGGTCAATACTCTATTCATTCATTTCAATATCAATACATCTATAACTTCGAGGTTTGTATAGCTTTTTATTAATTTCAAGAAAACTTAATAAATTTATTCCTTATGATAAAAAACTTATTTTTATTCAAACGTCAAAATATGATTTTTATACAAAAAAGGAAATAACTTATAAAAACAAAATTCTTATCGATTTTAGATCTTTGTAATCAAGTTTCTTATTATAAAAGTATATTTTATACAAAACCAAATAACCAATTATATTGAATATAAATTAAGTTTAAATTTAAAACTTAAAAACAATATATAACAAGAGTTATAATACTATAAATAATTCTAATGTTTAATCAAATATGAAAACAGGAAACATAAATACATCATAAAAAACCGATGCATCAGTGCGTTGACAATAATGATTCAATGTATGGCATTGTTTGGGAG